TGGGAGAGGTCATCAGGAGGTTTGGGCTGAGGAGTCAGCAATATGCTGATGACACTCAGCTCTACCTCTCGTTTTCTACCAATCCAGGTGAGGCAGTTTTTGTGCTGAACTCGTGTCTGGACCTGATAATGGACTGGATGAGGGTTAACAAGTTGAAACTCAATCCAGAGAAGACAGAAGTGTCATTAGTGTGTGCTTCGCTGGACACGCTAGAGGGCCATTCCTCTACCCTGAATGGGGTTACACTCCCCCTAAGGGACAGGGTCCACAGCCTGGGGGTGCTCTTGGACCCCAGTCTAACTTTGGTGGACTCAGTGGCAAGGGGCATCTTCCTTCAGTTGCAGAAATTATACCAGCTACTGCCCTACCTGGACGAACAGTCTCATGACAGTTATGCATGCACTGGTAACATCCCGTATAGATTACTGCAATGCGCTGTATGTGGGGCCTTTGAAGATGGTCCTGTGACTGCAAGTGTTTCAGAATCAAGCTGCGTGGCTGGTGAGTGATGGGGCTGCTAGGGAACACATCAGGCTGATTCTGTTCAAATTATATTTGTTACCAGTCGCTGCCCGGGCCCAATTCAAGGTGCTTGTTTTGATGTATAAAGCCCTAAACGGCTTGGGCACTGTATACCTGAAGGACTGCCCCCTTTCATATAAACCTACCATGCAGTTAAGATCTAGCCCGGGCGCCCTCCTGAAGCCATTCAAGGTGCTTGTTTTGATGTATAAAGCCCTAAACGGCTTGGGCCCTGGATACCTGAAGGACTGGCTCCTTTCATATAAACCTACCATGCAATTAGGATCTAGCCAGGGTGCCCTCCTGAAGCAATCCCTCAAGGAGGTAAGAGGGATGGCTTGTAGACCAAAGGTATTTTCGGCAGCTGCCTCAGACTATGGAATGCCATCCCGAATGAGATTCGTCTGGCACCAATGCTGATAATGTTTTGTCGCCAGGTCAAAACCTTCCTGTTCTAGAAGATTTTTAACTGAAATAATATCAACTTTGGGTCCTGATGGCAATTTTTCAGAGTACTGTATTTTTAATTGTATTTTAATTGTTTTATCTTTTTATCTTTTTATTGCATATAAATTGTAAGCCAAGAGACCTTTGGGTAGTGTGGGCAGCATATAAGTTAAACAAATAAACAAACAAACAAATAAATAAATATGCACAATTATTTTCTAGACTCCTCATGTCTATTTAATTTTTAAAATGTATTATATTTATAGCTCACCTTTCCACTACCAAGCAGAACTCAAAGAGACTTACCCAATTTTAACCATAAAATCATTTTTTAAAAAAAACTATTAAATCATTAAAATTAATCATTATCTTAGAACTGCAGACCTGGAAGGGATCCAGTAGATCATCAAGTCCAACCCCTGTCAAGAAGGCACAATGAGGAATTGAACTCCCAACCTCTAGCTCCACAGCCAGACACCTGAACCACGTACTTTAAAATCAATTAAACATTCACCTACAAACAATACAAGACAGCACGTTCATCGTCTAATGTTAGTTTTAAAAGATGGGTTTCTACACCCTTCTTAATAGCGGTCAGAGTGGAAATGAATCGCAGCTCTGAAGGGAGTGCCTTTCACAATTTGAGAGCAACATAGATGAAAGTTTTCTTCTGTGTGCCTGTTAGGCAGGCCTCTGAAACATTTGGTATTTTTAAGAGAGCCTCTCTCAAAGATATTGACATACAGACAGCCTCATAACAAGATGGGTACTTTCAATAGCTAGGCCCCAAGCATTTAGAGACAGGAAGGTTAAAACCAGCACCCTGAACTGGGCCAGTTAAGTAACTGGCAACCATTGCTGGTCTTTCAGTATTGGGGTCATATGATAATGGTACCATGCTCCAGTTTGCATCAGTTTACCATACTGTATCAAATGAAGATCCCAGACCTTCTTCAAGGGTAGTCTATACCTTTGAAGTGCACTGCAATTGTCAAGATGGGATGTAATTAGGCATGGATGGCTTGCTAAGTCAGATTGACTCAGGAAAAGTCATAGTAGGTCCACTAAATGGAACTGTACAAAGGCACTTCTCATCACGGCTACCCTCTGAGAATTCATGAACCTGACCTGTCAGCAGAAACACAATACCTTCTAGAACAGGCTGAGTCTCAGTGGCCAAGTCTGACTTTCCAGCAGCGCCTCCATTTTATCAAGATTTAATTTCAGCCTGTTTGTCCTCATTCAGCAAGGGCTGTGTGCTCAGCTTACCAGGAAGGGGTGTGTCCTGATTAGTGCTGAGAGCTATAAGTAGCAAATGTGGGTTCTAGGAGAGCCTTTTGATTGCTAACTCAACAGAGCACAGCTGAGGATAAGAGCTGAGGCAGACCCAGAGAGCTCACAACCAAGGTGAGCTAACAAGAGTTTGACAGGGGAGGCCCTTAACAAAATTTTTGGATTGTGTCAAATAGTTATATATTAATGGATTTTCTCACCTACGTTCAAGGTAACAAAATAAAGGGAAAGTTCAGTCATGGTGACCTGCAAAGTTTGTGCAATGTTTGTTTTTGCACCTGAGTGTAACATGGCATACACATGCAGCTAGTGCAAATTGTGGCACTGTTAAAAGAAAAAGTGAGAGAACTGGAGCAGCTAGTAGCCATACTTAAGGCTCTAAAGGAGGATGAATTATACACTGGCATAACTCTTGAGCAGCAGCAGTCAATGGAGGCACTGGAGGTGGCAGAGCAATAAGGGAAGGCAGAAGAGGATGTTGAGGAAAGAGCAAACATAGTGGAGGAAGCACTATGGAAAAGAGTCACACTTAGGAGAAAAAGGAGATGATTATCTTCACCAGTAGAACGGCAAAACTGCTTTCAGGTTCTTGATGAGGAGTCTGGCAGACAGCAAGTAGACGAAGTCAAAGAGGAGACCATGCAGAAGTATATGAGAGGGACTGAAACAAAGGCAAGCAGAGGCACTGAACCCACACCCTATAAGAAGATGAGAAGACTAGTTGTAATAGAAGACTCCCTACTGTGTGGGATGGAAACTGAAGTATGCCGGGAAGATCCATGGACCCTCCAGGAATGCTGTCTCCCTGGAGCACAGATTAGGGATATGACAGAAGGACTACAATCACTCATAAAACCCACTGATACATATCCTTTTCTTCTCATCCATGTGCGATACATATACCTTTCTTCTCATCCATGTGGGAACAAACATACATCCAAGAACAACATGGAAGACATCACATCAGACTTGAAGTTCTGGGAAGGAAACTCAAGGACTTTGGGGCCTGGATGGTTTTCTCATCTGTCCTACCAGTACTCAGAAGAGAAGCAGAAAGGGTAAGGAAACTATTCTGAGTGAATGGACCAAACAGTTCTAATGTGGGTCAATAATAATGTTAATATTAATACTCATATTAATATAAATATACAAAGAAAAGCAGACACCGCATCACATAAACTCCAGTGTCTATATACGAATTCCAGGAGTATGGGAAACAAACAAGAAGAACTGGAAATCTTAGTTCAAGAGGGTAAGTAAGTATGACTTGATAGGAATAACTGAAACTTGGTGGGATGACTCCCAAATCTGGAATACAGCAATTGAAGGATATAAATTGTTAAGAACAGAAAGAATAGAAAGGGAGGTGGAGTTGCACTATATGTCAAAAATGCACATTCCTGCACAGAAATACAGGAGGAGGAGATTGGCTGTCCAATTGAGAGCATCTGGATCAATGTAGTTGGGGCAAGAAACAAAAGAAGTGTGTAGCTGGAGTCCACTTCCAGCTGGAGGAGAGGATGCCAATGAAACTTTTGAAAAACAAATTGCAAGGATTTCAAAGAGACATTATGTAGTAGTGATGGGAGATTTCAATTATCCTGATCTGTTGGGAGGCAAATTCTGCCAAGTGTGGCCCTTCCAATAAATTTCTGGCTTGTGTGGCTGATAATTTTATCCTTTAAAAAGTGGAGAAAGAAACTAGAGGACTAGCTATCCTTGACTGGATTCTAACCAATGGAGATGACTTGATGGAGGAAGTGCCAATAAGGGGAACTCTGGGTGAGAGTGACCATGTTCTATGAGAATTCTTGACTTCAAAGGAAATCAAAGCAGAATGTACCCACATATATAAGCTGGATTTCAAAAAAGCAATTTAAAAAAAACTCAGGACAATGATAAGTAAGGCCCTGTGGCAGGAGATCCTAACGAAAAGTAGTCCAAGAAGGTGAGAGTTTCTAAAACAGGAAATTCTAAATGCACAACTACAAACAGTTCCAACAAGAAAAAAAGGTAGGAGACAGTAAAAAAGGCTGGTGTGGTCTCACAAAATGCTCAGAGAGGACCTGAAAACAAAAAAGTACATATTTAGGAAGTTTAGTGGCAAGTCAAGTCTGAGTCATTGGGGGGAGGGATCTTCAGTCAAGCCATGGATGTGACTTAAATGTGACTTGACAGCAAGTCCCATAACTTGAGTCCCCATTCCTAATAATTCTAATCCAAAACTTCTTCCAGACTGATTAACCATAAGAGTTAAGTTTAAGTCCCACTTCCCTAGTCAGTGATTATATGTACGGAGTGTACACTGTATTGTAGTACTTCTACGCAGGGTCATACCATACCTTCATACTGTTACATAAATCCACGACTTGAATCAGGAATTTTTATGAGTGGAACTAAGACTGGCAAGCTATCCAGGACTGTGTGCAGTCTGACATTAGTTGCAAATGGCAAAATGAATACAACACATCAGCATTTGTAACTGGCAGACAGGAAAGGCCCCTGAAGTGTTTAGGCCTGACTAGAGTGCAGAATGTTTATTTACTGTACTGTACTCCAAGCCCAAGACTTTATCTTGATAACTAACAAATGTAACCCAGAAAGTGAAAGAAACCCACACACAGCTCATTTGGTATGGCTGTTTACAGCCTCTGCTTGGCACTTCTATAAAGTCGCTACCCTTGTTCTACCAACAGTGTTTTACACTTTGCAGAAAAGTATAGGAGTTGAAGTCAAAAAAGTCAGATTAAGACTTGAAAGGCAAGAAAACATAACAGCCAAGATTTCTAGCTTAGCACATATGACAATATATAGTCTGCACCAATAGTGAGAGACTTACCTTAATTCAGGGTACACGTTTTCAAGATACCACTTGAATGGTTTGCAGTTAAGTCTCTTTCTCAATTCCAATCGGCTTTGAATACTAGAAAGAAAACATTTTAGGGTTTTTAAACAGCTAGATTTACAAGTGGCATAATCTGAAAAATGTATTTCTTCTGACAACATCTGTGAATTATTTTGACAGATACAGTCAATAAAGATACAGTCTTATGGTTCACTTTGATAAGACTTTCTAATCTCCATCCCAAGAAGGCTCAACCCACAAAACAGATAAACACTAGGAATGTCGTATCTGGCAAACGCCAGAGAGGTAGCCCAGGTGGCTGCTTTGCAAATGTTCTGCAGTTGGACACCTTTGAATAGGGCTGTCGAGGTGGAAACCGCTCTGATGGAATGTGCCTTTAAGCCCTCTGGAAGAGGTTTGTTGGCTAGCTGGTAAGCCAGGTGAATGAACTGAACGATCCACCGTGATACTGATTGAGAAGAAGCACAGTGGTCCGTGGTAACATAAAAAGAGACACAGAGAGCATTGGATGGACTTGGTGCGGTGTAGGTAGAAGGCAAGGGCCCTTCTAACGTCGAGAGAATGATGTTTGTGCTCCAGCTGTGTGGTTGGAGATGGGGAAAAGATTGGGAGCACAATGGGCTGATTGACATGGAATTCTGACACCACTTTTGGGAGGAACGAAATGTCCATGTATAAGGTAACCTTATCTGGGTGCATCTGTAGGTACGGAGGGTCCGACCTCAGGGCAGCAATCTTGCTTGCTCGTCTGGCTGAAGTAATGGCTACTAGAAATGCAATTTTCAAGGAAAGCAGTTTTTCAGAGCACGTAGCCATTGGTTCGAACGGAGGTTTAGTAATGGCCTCTAGGACCAGCGGAAGGGACCATTGGGGTGCAATGGTTTGGGAGGGTGGTCGTATGTTTTGGAGACCTTTTAAGAATCTTTTACATGTAGGGTCAGAAAAAAGCCTCGCAGAGTATGAACAAGGAGGGTGAAATGTAAACTTTAAGCGTGGAGTGAGCAAGTCCCATATTGAAGAGATACAGCTAAAAGGTAAGTACCGTACGTAGAGAAGCTGGTACCGTGGTCATGTCTTTAGATTGGGCAAACTTGGTAAATGCTTTCCATTTGCCCTTGTATAAGCGTGTGGTAGAGGGCTTTCATGCATGGTCTAGCACCTTGCCGAAGCGGGGGTTATCCTCCATGGCGTCAGGTGAAGGGACCAAACATCGGAATGGAGGGGAGCCCCGTTGTCCTGTGACAGGAGGGACGGTATCTGAAGTAGGTGATAAACTTGTCCGCTTCTTGCTGTTTAATGTGCAGAGTTCTCTGACTGAAGAAAAACACACACGCTCTTCTTCTACAAAAAGACACGTGTATTAACAAAATATATACAAATATACAAAGCAGCAGACCTTTGGCGTGGCAGAAAAAATAGAAGCAAAGTACATAGAGGATAGTAGCATAGAGGAAAGAAGAAGATACATTCATGTTCACAATGTTTCCTTATATACAGTTGAACTGATGCTTCTGTCCAATC